TGTTTGCCTGTTTTGCTTCTTTTCTTCCAGATTGGGTTTTTCTGTCATTCCCTTCCTCCCTCCCTCCTTTCTTGCCTTTCTCCCAAAAATCCATCCATCCTTCCTTCCTTCCTCTCTTCCTCCCTCCCTCCCTCCCTTCCTTCCTTCCTTCCTTCCTTCCTTCCTTTTTTTCTGTATTACATATCTTTTACCTTGCTTATGTTTAATATGGGCACTTCAGTGAGGTAGTAATGAGAACAGACATGGGGGGGGGTACCTGGGTGGCTCAGTCAGTTAAGTATCTGACCCTGGATCTCGGCTCAGGTCAGGAGTTTGCATCGGGCTCTGTGCTGACAGCATGGAACCTGCTTGGGATTCTCTCTCTCCCTCCTTCTCTGCCCCTCCCCCACTCACACACTCTCTCTCTCTCTCTCTCTCTCTCTCTCTCTCTCCCTCTCAAAATAAATAAATAGATAAACTTAAAAAAAAAAAGGGAGAACAGACATTAGAGCCAATACCTGGGATACACTCTTGGTTCGTCCGTTCAATAGTAATACAATTTGGGGGGCACCTGGGTGGCTCAGTCTATTAAGCGGCGGACTCGTGATTTCGCCTCAGGTCACGGTTTGTGGGATTGAGCCCCACCTTGGGCTCTGTGCTGACAGCTCAGAGTCTGGAGCCTGCTTCGGATTCTCTGTCCTCCCTCTCTCTCTCTCTCTCTCTCTTTCAGAAATAACAAATGAATAAACTTAAAAAAAAAAAAAGAATTGCTCTTCAGGGTTTGGTGGGCTTACCCCCCAGCCCCACCCCGCAGCGGCGGTGAGGTTGGGGTCAGCCTCCATTCTACGCCGTTCCAGAATCTTCCGTCCCTCGCCACGGTCACCACTTTTCAGACTGTGTAGACTGAGGTTGCGTTCCTTTCTTCATCGGCTTGCTTTCCGCTGTTGAAAATTGTCCTGGCTTGTGACTTTCACCCCTTACTGGGAAAGCATAGTTCTCTGATTGAATTTTGTTCCGCTGTCTTTATCTGGAAATCTTGTGGTGAGCTTCTTTAAAAAAACGAAAGATAGGAAAAAACAAAACATTCCTAGACCCAGCCCTGGACCTTCCATTTCAGAGGGTCTGGAATGGAGCCCAAGTATCTCCTTTTTAAAAGCCTCCCCGTGGTTCTTAGGATCACTAAGTTTACATCCAGTATCCTTAGGAGAGGATTATATTTTTCTCTTGCCTTTTAATTAGCCTGTCTGAAGAGCAAGTTTAATATATAAAACACTTAAAAGTTCTCAGAAAGATCCCATAAATTTATAGATGCTCTTTGTGGTTTCTTTTCTTGCTTGTTTGTTAAAATAACCTCGTACAAAATAGAGCAAGAAAGCCCATCTCCAGAGAATGCAAATGAAAGTTGATCTTTTTTTTGTAGTGGTCCCTGAGAGAAATATCCTGACTTTCCCTTCCAGACCTCTTAAGCTTTTAGTTTTCTGCTGGCATTTATAGAGTGAATTATTCATCGGTGCTTTTAAGAAGCATTTTGAATGCTGTTTACGTATGCTAATATGATCAAAGTGATACTCATTCATCACAAGATGATGGGTTTTTGTTTTAACTTTTTTAAAAACTTTTTTTAATGTTTTCTTTTATATTTGAGAGAGAGAGAGAGAGAGAGAGAGAGAGCCCGCGTGCACAAGCGGGTGAGGGGTAGAGGAATGGAGACAGAATCTGAAGCAGGCTCCAGGCTCGAGGCTGTTAGCAAAGAGCCTGACGCGGGGCTCGAACTCACGAGCTGTGAGATCATGACCTGAGCCGAAGTCAGATTTCAATAAACATTTAAAATAACAGTTTTGAAAGAATTTTTATAGAAGATGTGAGTTTCAAAGTGGTATTTTCCATTTATAATTTATTGTGAACAGAAGAAATGATTAATATTTAAAACCTTGCATTAAAAATCATTTCACATGCAGGGGCACCTGAGTGGCTCACTCGGTTAAGCGTCCAACGTCAGCCCAGGTCATGGTCTCAGTTTATGAGTTCGAGCCCCACATCGGGCTCTGTGCTGACAGCTTGGAGCCTGGAGCCTGCTTTGGGTTCTGTGTCTCCCTCTCTCTCTGCCCCTCCCCTGCTCACACTCTGTCTCTGTCTCCCGCTCTCTCAAAAATAAATACACATTAAAAAAATATTTCACATGCAGCCAATAGGCTTTTTACTACTCCAGTCTCCCGTGTTTGCTAACAAGAACCTGTTGGTTATATATTCACCTGCTTTCCACGTGTTCCCCTTTTGTCCCCGCCACCTGTAAGGAGGACAGACTGTTTTTACTAAATCTCCCTTTTACGGGGTGATTGTGGTCAAACCAGCTCAAAGAACTGTACTGTGCTTTTAGCAGACAAGGTTTCCCTCTTTTGCATTAGTTTTTTTCTTTAAGTCACATTTTAATTTTATTTTTTATTTTAATTGTTTTTAATGGTTTTTAAATTTAGTTTTGAGAGAAAGAGAGAGAGAGAACTCAAGCAGGGGAGGGGCAGAGAGAGAGAGAGAGAGAGAGAGAGAATCCCAAGCAGGTTCTGTGACGAAAGCAGCAAGCCCAGTGTAGGGCTCGAACTCATGAACTGGGAGATCATGATCTGAGCCGAACTCGGACACACAACCTCTGAAATACCCAGGTGCCCTATTTTATTTTTTATTTTTAAAGATCTTATTTTTGGGGCGCCTGGGTGGCTTAGTCGGTTAAGCGTCCGACTTCGGCTCAGGTCATGATCTCCAGTTCGTGGGTTCGAGCCCCGCGTCAGGCTCTGTGCTGACAGCTCAGAGCCTGGAGCCTGTTTCAGATTCTGTGTCTCCCTCTCTCTCTGACCCTCCCCCGTTCATGCTCTGTCTCTCTGTGTCTCAAAAATCACTAAACGTTAAAAAAAAATTTTTTTTTAATTAAAAAAAAAATAAAGACCTTATTTTTAAGTAATCTCTACGCCCAGCGTGTGGCTTGAACTCACGACCCCAAGATCAAGAGTCACATGCTCTACTGACTGAACCGGCCAGGAGCCCCCTCGTATCTTCATTTTAAATTACAACGATCAATATTCTAGCGGATGTTACATACTCCCCTAGAATTTCCAAACTTGAAGGGACAGTAGAGGCCATTTCACCCAGCCCCCTCGGACTCACGGATGAAGAACTGGACACACAGACTTTTTACCCAAGTCCACGGCCTCATGTCATCTAGTAATACCTGTTAGAGGTGAGATCGCATCCACTTTGTCCATGAAATGTACCCTGATCCAAACTGTAAACTTAGGACGGCCCTTTTTTTTTTTTTTTTTTTTTTTTTTCTAGACGATTCTGTAGATTCAGGGGAAATGAAAGAACTAAGATGTGAAATAGTGAAAGTAACTACTAGAAAAGAGGACTAGCCCTCAGGTGAGGGCTCCCACTGTGGACCATTAGTCAGCCTTTGGCTGTTTCTCTAAACCACAGCTGCCGGAGGCAGGCCCCACGAGAAATCAGCCAGCGAGACCCCTGTGAGTGAGTTTTCTTTTTTCATGTTTGCCTCCTAGCTTTTGTGTAAATCGCAGCGTGTTGACTCTAGACATTATCTGGATTCTTGACCTGGAGATGAGATTCGGAAGAGAGATAGGAGTGATTTCGGGCTCGTCGGTCGGAGTGTGTTCGGTGCAGATCGGCTGGGCAGGTTGAAAGTTCCCGTTAAATGTCATAGCGGGAACGTCCCCCGAATATTGTCTCCGCTTCCTCCGAGAAGGCTTCCTTCCCCTTTTCCCCTTTTCGTTAGCTCTTTGGAGGGGCAGCCACACCGCCTTGACGGCATGCCCTTGGCACTTGGAGTTTTAATTTGAACATTTTGGACGTAGTCCCCGTGCTTTCCGTGGGTTTAGGGTAATACTATTCGGCTGCAGAGGACCACAAAGGAGCAGTGGCCTGGTGGGAAAACCCATCGTCAGCTCAGGGCTGCCGATGAACGTGGCTTCGCGGGTGCCCAGGGTCTGTACTCTCCGATTCAAGCCGGGTCGACATCAGCTAGTGCCTCCCGCTGCGCTTTTCTTTTAAACGTTGTTTTTAATGTTTATTTTTGAGAGAGACAGAGCGTGAGCGGGGGAGGGGCAGAGAGAGAGGGAGACACAGGATCCGAAGCAGGCTCCGGGCTCCGAGCTGTCAGCACAGAGCCCGACGCGGGGCTCGAACCCATAAACCGTGCGATCATGACCTGAGCCCCCCAGGTGCCCCCGCCCCTCTCTGTTCTTATTTGCTCTATTTATTTATTATTATTTATTGCTCTTAATATTTCCCTGTGGCTCAGTCGGTGGTACACGGGACTCTTGATTTTGGGGTCATGAGTTTGAGCTCCACGTTGGGTGTGGAGATCACTTTTTAAAAAGGAAATGGGGGGGCGCGCCTGGGTGGCGCAGTCGGTTAAGCGTCCGACTTCAGCCAGGTCACGATCTCGCGGTCCGTGAGTTCGAGCCCCGCGTCGGGCTCTGGGCTGATGGCTCGGAGCCTGGAGCCTGTTTCCGATTCTGTGTCTCCCTCTCTCTCTGCCCCTCCCCCATTCATGCTCTGTCTCTCTCTGTCCCCAAAATAAAAAATAATAATAATAATAAAATAAAAAAAATAAATAAATAAAAAGGAAATGGGGCGCCCCGGTGGCTCGGTCGGTTAAGCACCCGACTTCAGCCCGGGTCATGATGTCACCGTCCGTGAGCTCAAGCCCCGCGTCGGGCTCCATGCCGACAGCTCAGAGCCTGGAGCCTGGTTTGGATTCTGTGTCCCCCTCCCCTGCTCACGCTCTGTCTCCCTGTCTCTCAAAAAACGAATGAACGTTAAAAAAATTTTTTTAAAAAAACGAAGGAAATGAATGCCTTTCAACTGTGGACATTTTCTGATTTTTTTTTTTAAGTTGTCAACAAAAGCACTGACTTCACCTTCCATCACTGATTTCTCGATCGTCTTTTTTTTTCTCTCTCAGTCATTCAGTCATCTCTCTACAGAAGGTGACATTGTCTGCATTTTTGTTTTAGGAATCTTGCAAAGAAATACCAACCTAAAAAGAACTCGAAGGAAGAAGAGGAATACAGGTCTGTTTAACACCGATCATCATGTGGTGATATCTTTATGCGGGTGGTGATGATGGTGAAGGAAAGAAAAAATGAAATCTACAAAACTAAGCTGCCTTCCCCGCTCCTCTTTGTGTCAGTTTTTAAACGGGAAGAACCATAAAGACCCTGCTCCACTAACTTCCCTTTGTCGGAGTCACTAGACCTATTCCAGATTGTTTTCAGTGAAGGTGATTGGGAAAAGCTTAATCTACGCAAATACAGGAAGTGTGGATTATGCAGTCCGCAGTCTTGATTTGACTTTGTAACATCAGGAGTCTGTTTCACCGAGAAATGTGTCCATTTCAGTCGGTAGCTAAGGCACCTTACCGTGGATGGCCCCAGAGTATTATGTCTCTCACTTAGACCTAAATATCCACTGCATTAGTGCATTTACCACGTATACGTATTGGGGGGTATCTTTGGACCGAGTATTAACAGAGCCAAATCCTGCCTTATATAGAGTGATTCGGCGTCCCCCAGAATGCAAAGTGTCTCACTGGTAATTAATTCCGAGCCATTTTGATCGGAACACTCTTACGTGTAATGAATTGTCAGGATCCTCTGGGAGGTCGATGCACATTAACCTGATTTTAATTAATGTTTTGTCAGCGCGCAGCGCGTTAGAGCGGACGTGACCTTGTTTGCAAAGGGGTGCCGTATGTTCTGTTCCGTAGGTATACAGCATGTAAAGCCTTCCTTTCCACCCTGAACGAAATGAACGATTACGCCGGGCAGCACGAAGTTATCTCCGAGAACATGACCTCACACATCACCGTGGAGCTAGCCCGCTACGTCCAGGAACTGAAGCAGGAGAGGAAATCGGTAACAAATAGCACTTCTTTTAAGGTTTATTTTTATTTTTGAGAGAGCGAGAGAGAGAGAAAGAGAGAGCGAGCGTGCATGTAAGCATGGGGTGGGGGGGCAGAGAGAGGGAGGGGAACAAAGGACCCAAAGTGGGCTCTGTGCTGACAGCAGAGAGCCTAATGCGGGGGGTCAAACTCATGAACCGTGAGATCATGACCTGAGCCGAAACCAGGAGTTGGATGCTTAACCCACGGAGTCACCTGGAGGTCCCTAAGAGATTTATGGTTAGGCTGTGGTCTGTGTCCTTGTTCCTTGATCCCTTAGGAAGTAAGGGCATCATACTATGTTAGTGATAAGGTACCAGAGCTGGCCAGTGATGATACTTTTTTCATTTAAATTTGAGTCCACAGTAATTGGTGTAAGTGCTCTGGTGTTGCTTGAGCCAACGGGGAAGATCTCGTTGCTGCTGAAACGGAAGAGACGTTAAATAATCATGACCAAAATAATTATTTCATTGTGAGAGTAGCTACAAAGTATGTGTGCCGGGGCTTTGGGAGCAGATGATAGGAATCCCTAACATGCTTGGACCCAGGACCAGGGAGAAGCTTCCCAGGGCCCTCAGCACTTAACGTTTTGGCAAGACTCGAAGTATGAGGAGGAGTTGCTTGGGGCAAACCATAGAGGGAACAGCCAGTGCAAAGGCCCTGAGACAGGAAGGTATTTGGAACGGCTGAGGCGTTTACTCTTTCTAAGCTATAAGTAGATAGAACGTGGCTTTGGGTGTGTTTAGAAGTTAGGAACAGATATATGCCTGAAGATCAACCCATTCGTTGCAAAAAAAAAAATGTTGATAAACTGAGATGAAATTTTTATCTGTTCACGTTAGAGCAGTGGGTCTCAAGCTGGCACAATTTTGTACCCCCCCCCCCCAACATGTGCCAATGTCTGGAGATAGTTCTGGTTGTGTGGGGGGGGGATTAGCTTTGGGGGGGGTTGCCACTGGCATCTGGTGGGTGAAACCCAGACACGCTGTTCAACATCCTGTGATGCATAGGGCGGCCTCCACAACAAAGAATTACCTGGCCCCTGATGTCCGTGGTGCCCAGATTGACATGCCAGCCTCTTCCAGACCGTTCATTAAAGAAGGTCTTTTCCGTGATGGAAAGGAAGCAGTGAAACAAAATACTAAGGTTCAGAATGAAACGCAGTGGCCTATTGTGATCCTCAGGGAAATGCGGTCAATCTGGACATGATGTTGGACTGCTTCCCTGGGCGCTTGAACTTCCCTCAACCTTGCACAGTTTATACCCTCTTCCTGTTTGTTTCTTTGTTCGGTGCTTTGTGTGTCTTCACTGACCTTTATCCACCCATATAGCTTAGAGATTTAGCCAACGCCCTCAACAAGAACTCTCAGCATTTACCTTAGTCTGGAACGTACATGCTGTTTCTGGAGTGGATCATGACATATGAACCCACATGACCTGGCTTCCTGTTAGTTTTTTTTTTTTTTTAAATAATGTTTATTTGTTTCGAGAGAGGGGGAGAGACAAAGAACGAATGGGGGAGAGGCAGAGAGAGAGGGAGAGGATCCCAAGCAGGCTCTGTACCCTCGGCACAGAGCCCAACTTGGAGCTCGAACTCACAAACCTTGAGATCGTGATGTGAGCTGAAACCAAGAGTCAAATGCTTAACCGACTGAGCTACCCAGGTGCCCCACTTTTTTTTTTTTTTTAAGTTTATTTATTGCGAGAGAGAAAGAGAGAGAGAGAGAGTGAGTGTGCGAGCCAGGGAGGGGTAAAGGGACAGCGTGAGAGAGAATCCCAAGCAGGCTCTGTGCTCTCAGCGCGGAGCCCGATGGGCGCGATCCCACGAACCACGAGTTTGCACTGGCCTTTTATTTCCTCGGAAAGCTTTCCCCCCAGATACCTGCAGAGCTCACCTGCTGAGTTCTTTCGCAGGAATATGGTCTTCTCATTGAGGTCTGTCTTGTCCACCTTATGTAAACTTACAAAGTCCCCCCCCCCCTTCCCCTCCTCATTGCCCCCACCTTCCCTGCTTTACTGTTTTTCCCTAGTGGTTACCAGCGTCTAACATTTTTACGTATCTGTTTCCTTGCGTCTCACACTAGAACGTAAGCTCCATGAGGGCAAGAATTTTTCTTGGTTACCGTTGTATCTTGAGCTCGAGTGTCCGGGCGGGACAAAGCAGGCTGTTGATAAATACTCCCAGGGTGGAAGAAATAATTAAGAAGTGGCGAGAAGCAGTCTTAGAGTCAACTTTGTCCTCAGTTAGACTTCGTGTCACCGGTTGAGGATCCTTGTGTGTCTTTGCTGTGTTACGATCGGGTCCTTTTGTTCTGTTTACCCCCCGTTAATCACATGTCTTGTACAGTCCGTCATATCTGTAGTTTGAATTCTGTTCCCTTTTTATCAGAAATTATAGTAATTTATGAAGTAAATTACAGGTGGTACAGATACACGTTAAATAATATCTTGCGATACGTGCTGTTCCTTTTATTTTAAGGAGAATCGCAAGCACACATTTCTGAGTCACATGTTCTGCCGGGAAGAATTACAAACACCATGCTCTCTTGAAGCATTTTGTAATTATATTAAAATGACATTTGAGGAAGCTGGGAAACCTTTTATTTATTTTGTTTTTGCTTGTTTATTTATTTTTGAGAGAGAGAGAGAGAGAGAGAGAGAGAGAGAGAGAGCAGGGGAAGAGCAGAGGGAGAGGGGGTGGGGACAGAGAATCCCAAGCAGGCACCACGCTGACAGAGGAGAGCCCGATGTGGGGCTCGAACGCACAAACTGTGAGATCATGACCTGAGCCAAAGTCAGACACTTAATGGACTGAGCCACCCAGGCGCCCCAGGAAACTGGGAAACCTTTTAGAATTCCAGGACGCGTATCGGTAGGCAAATGCGTATTTGCGGTGTTTTAATATTTACCATTATTTGGAGTGACCGCACATGGTGATGTTGAGACGCTGTGACTTTAAAAATTATTCGGATGATATTGGCTATTTAGTTGTCTGGCCTCAGGTCTTCATGTTTCTGGATTTTCATAACTGATATCTTTTACGTTTTAACATTTACTCTCCACGGTTCCCCTCGGGAACGTTTTACTCCAGACCAGGAGGCTGGAGGCGTTGGGGCTGGAGAGTCAACCCGACTGTCCGGGCTGTCAGCACAGAGCCCGACGCGGGGCTCGAACCCACGAACCGCGAGATCATGACCTGAGCCGGAATCGGACGCTTAACCGACTGATTCTTTAACTTCCATGCAAGGAGGCCGGGTCAACTTGTGAACTTCTTCATGGGCAGTCAGCTGTGGCCAAGGAGCTCCTTGAGATGGAACGCTGATGACCAATGTGTCTCCTTTCGAGCTTTCCCTTTTGGTTCCCCTCTTACTGGTTTTTAAAGTTTATTGTAAGAGAGAGAGCGAGAGCAAGTGGGGGAGGGACAGAGAGAGAGAGAGACAGAGACAGAGACAGAGAATCCCAAGCATGCTCCGCACGGTCAGTGCAGAGCCCAATTCAGGGCTCGAACTCCTGAACCGTGAGATCGTGACCTGAGCCCAAATCTAGAGCTGGACGCTTAACCGACTGAGCCACCCAGGCGTCCCTCCCCCAACTCTTATTAGTGAGTGATCTTGTTTATTTTTGAAAAGGGGACTCTTAAAAACACGGCAAAATGGGATCTTTTCCCCTTTCTGGTGACGGCAGCGGTTGGCGGGAGGAGCGGAACAGAGCTGGGACTCGCATCCAGGTCTGCTGGTGTCACATCTAGGGGCCTTTGACATAGCGGCGACATCCTATCTGCCCAAAGGGATGATTTAGAATTTACAGGATTACTGCTGGATCTCATTACTGCCTAGAGCGTGTTTCCAAGTTCGGTTTGGAATGCCACTGGAAAATTATTTCTCCTCTAGATTTTGCTTCGTTTGAGTAGACGAGTCTCTCACGAGAGTCTGCACGGTAAAAAATAGCTCCTTATGCAAAAGATGTTTCCTTCCTGTTTTGTCAAGATTTGAAAGGAAGGTAGTAAGAAGGAAGGAAGTAGAGGGAGGGATGGTCGTCTTGGGGGGGGCGTTTCAGAGTGAGCCAGCTAGTCGATCTTTAAGTCTTAAGGTCCTTGGTTGTAAAATAGGATACTTGCTGTTCGTGTGTTTAGGAGAAAAGATGGGTTTTATGCCGCCCTGTCTGTATCTACCCATGTTCCCATGTTACGTGCAACTCTCTCACGTAGTGTTGAAAAAAAATTATTTTTAACATTTATTTAGTTTTGAGAGACGGAGAGAGATTGAGCCCCAGTTGGGGAGGGGCAGAGAGAGAGGGAGACACAGAACCCGAAGCGGGCTCCAGGCTCCGAGCCGTCAGCACAGAGCCCGACGTGGGGCTCGAACCCACGAACTGTGAGATCGTGACCTGAGTCGAAGTTGGACGCTTAACCGACTGAGCCCCCCCAGGCGCCCCTCCCCCTCCTTTTTTTGAAGGGGGGAGTGCTAGGATTCATTTATTAGTTGTCAATATTGTGTAGAATGTTACCAAAACTCTGGATTAGAGAACAAAAACTCGGGGCGCCTGGGTGGCTCAGTCGGTTAGGCGTCCGACTTCAGCTCGGGTCATGATCACACGGTTCGTGAGTTCGAGCCCCGCGTCGGGCTCTGGGCTGACGGCTCGGAGCCTGGAGCCTGCTTCGGAGTCTGTGTCTCCTCTCCCTCTCTGCCCCTTCCCTGCTCGCACTGTCTGTCTCAAAAATATATGAAGAAAGTTAAAAAAAACCCCAAAACTTAAAGTTTTTATAAATCAGAACTTCGTTTTTCCAAGTTTCCTTCTAGACATCATTTATAGACATAAAGATATTGATATGTATATAGAGAGACAGATATGGGTGTATATATAATATCTATATAAGAATATATAACATTTAAGCATATGAGTCGTATATACATATGATTTATATTTTTATTTATTCTCCATTTAATATCATAAGCAGTTTCCACTTTTGTACGC